CAGCAACTTCTCCCCACCACTTGCCTTGCCAAACTTCTCCAAACTGACCTTTGCCAATGCTTTCTTGTAACACGATGGTCCTGGCAATTCTTCTCTGAACCAGCAGCAGTAAACCCATCGTCCCAGGTAGCAGCATCACCGTAGCCACCAGCACGATGAGAAGCAGCCAGCAACTCGGAGCAGCAGCCTCCGCCTCCATGGTCCTGCCGCAGTTTGTGGCCTGGCCCAGCCCTGGCTGCAGCTTCTCCTCAGCAAGTCTCCTAGGCCAGCCTCAAACTCAGGATCCTCCTGCCTCTGCCTCCTTCAGCAAATCCTACCAGCATGTGCCACCACAACAGGCTGAGTGCAGCTCAGGCCTGAGCTGGGGACTACAAGGCCACAGGCAAGTGGCTTTTTCGAGAATTCATACCACGAACGTTGGGTGCCAAATGTAACATGAATCTTTAACGGTCTTATTAGTAAAAACAACAAACCTGATAGCCAGGTATTGGGGTAAATTCTGAAAGATCAGAGAGACAGAACAAACCACAGCCAACCTCAGACACCCCTTCAAGTCCCCAGTTTGTCAATTTGTCCTGACATGGATTAAGATGGATGCATGAAGATTATCATCCAGCATCCTCTCACTAGATGTCTTTGTTATCTGTCATTTAATGTGGAATGATGTGAGGAACCTTCATGTTAGGATGCCTCATTGAAGAAAGATTCTTTGACGTGAGCCATCTACTATGGCTCAGACCATACTTTTCGCAGAGTAGCTTCAGTTTCCCAAAGAGTCACACTGAGACTGAGGATCACATGCCTGTTCTCAGCATGGTTCTCTGTGTGAATCCGAATGTGGCTGAATGTTGTTGATTGGGTAGTTGTGGGATGGAAATGCTGAGTAAATTCCACTTGCTCTCACTGAGTTCAGTGGTCTGATTGTATACACGGTGCTGAAGGCACAGTAGAAGAATGATGTGCTCAGTTTTCATTTCTCGGGAAGCATTTGCTTTGACAGTGCTAGAGACTGAACCCAGGGCTTTGCACATGCTTGAGCAAGTGCTCTGCACTAATTTGGCCCCCTTTTTACTATTTTTTGTTGTATATTTATGTACATGTGTTCATGTATGTATATGTGTGGTAAGCGTACACATTTGTGCAGGTCAGGACAACCTCAAGTGTTCCTCTTCAGCCGTCATCTGCTTTTGTCCCCTTCACACAGAAGCTTTTAGTTTATTTGTCCTTTCCTTAGAAATGCAGACTCTACTCCGCCTGCTTTCTTCCAGCACTAGCCAGGCCTCATTCTGTCCTGTGTTCCTTTCACTGTTCTCTAGAGCTCTTTCTCTGGGGGTCTTTTCTTCTCATAAGGGCCATGCCTTTTTCTTGCAAGTCTGTGTTTAGGCTCATTCTTCTTTGCATATTCCAAACACTCATAAATCATATCAAAGCTAGTTTGTATTGCCAACACCAAAATGGGTCCTGTATCCAAATCCAGAATGTCATCTGGTGTGGCTTTGTACATTTTGTCTAGCGTTCCCCAAATTTCTGCCTTTGTTACTCTTTGTCTTCCCAGGGTGAAGGGCATCAGTGATCATTTATTTCTTCTGTGGCCACTTCGTCAGGAGCTCCCCTGTCTGGCTGTCTGGATTGTTGCTGCATCATTCTTTTTGTTTGTTTGTTTGTTTGTTTTGTTTTTCAAGACAGGGTTTCTCTCTGTAGCTTTGTGCCTTTCCTGGAACTCACTCTGTAGTCCAGGCTGGCCTCGAATTCACAGAGATTCACCTGCTTCTGCCTCCCGAGTGCTGGGATTAAAGGCATGCGCCACCACTGCCTGGCCAACAAGCTGCGTCATTCTTGATGGCTGCAGGCCTGGACTAGTCAAGGGGAAAGGAGCACCTTGCTGTTTGGGTACTGGGCCTCTCACTGGCCTGGGGCTGGCTTAGTAGGGCTAGGTTGGCTGGCTGATTCAGGGACCTCCCTGCATTTCTCTGCCTCCCCAAGCTGGGATTACCAGTGAGTGCCACTGTACCAAGCTCATTTATATGGGCTCTAGGGTTGGAAAACAGGTCCTCATCCTTGCATATGAAGCATATGAACTATCTCCCAAGCCCCACTTTTTTGCTTTTACATTTGAGACAGGGTCTCACTGAATTTCCTCAGGCTGGCCCTGTTCTCACACTCTCTCCCAGGTAGGTCTTGAACTGTGTGCTCCTCTGCCTCAGCTTTTTGAGTAGCGTGCCTCATTGTTTTAGAGACTCTTTTAGCTGAGTGCTCCATGAGAATGTGATATCTTTCTTTGCAATTGTTGGTTAAGCTGCGGCACTCGTGGATGGCCACCTCCTGCAGCCATGCCAATGGAGGAGAGTGCTGGATGTATTGGTTACGGAAGAGTCACGAGCCATAGTTACCTTTCTAGAGCTTTATTGGGAGAGAAAGGGAGAGAGAGAGAGAGAGAGAGAGAGAGAGAGAGAGAGAGAGAGACCGACCCCCCGTGGAGTAGGGAGAAGACGGAAGGAGAGAGTGTGGAAAGAGAGGACACAGAGAGAGCATGCCCAGTTTTTTGGCTGGGGCGCTGTCGCAGGCTGGTGATGTAATAAGGAAAGAATCCTTATCGCAATCAGCTGTATTTGGTAAGATGTAAGAACTAGAGTGGTTCTTGTTTTTGTGCATGTGAAGTAGAGTGCTTTGAGAATACAGGGGCAAGAGACAGGGTTTTGCATTGAGTGAGCCTTTGTTGATGGAGACGGTGACATTTGAATGGGGCTTTAGAAGCACACGTGTCTGGTAGAGACCAGGCTGGCGAACAGTCAAAAGTGGGAATGTGCAAGACACATTTGGGCCATAGTCAGAAAAAGTCTAGTGTGGTGAAGTCAAGGGAATAAAAACCACAGTGCAGGGAAAGTGGGTCAGGGTGAAACTGGAGCGTGGCCCTAAAAATCAGTTAGGCCACCATGAACCTATTCTTCGCAGGATAGAGTCGAGCAGTTTCGTGATTTAGTAAGAAAACTCTGGCAGCTGTATTGGAAAAGGACAAGCATGAGGGAGGGATGAACAGAGGTGTGGAGGAAAACAGATGGAAGACTGTTGTTTCATTTGTCCAGCTTTGGCATCCTGTAAAACATGCTTAATAACTTCAGTGTTCCTTACTAAGCTCTTTGAGTACATTCGGTTTCAGACTGAATTACTGCTGCTATTACTATTTTGAGGCAGAGTCTGTGCTCCCAGATTGGGTAAGAATCTTCCTCTGTAGCCTACCCAGGCTTCAAACTTCAGGGTGTTTGACTTAGTCTCTGGAGTGCTGGGACCACAGGTGTGCATTGCCCATCTAGTCTTCAGGTTGAATTCTTAGGACTATTTTCTTAAGACCATGCCTCTTCACACTGGGTTGGACATCTAAGTATTTAACAACTCAAACCTGTTTGTCAGTGAACTTTAAAGTGCGGTCTCTGAAGACAGAAATGAGATGATAGAAAAAGAAGCTTATAGACCAGCCATTCCCTCTTTGGTACCTGTGCATTGTAGTTATAATTTAAGGTTTGCATTTCTGGAATCACTTTGGCATAAGTTAAAAATGTTTGACTTTCTATAGGCAGCTTTTTCTCAGATAGTATAAGGTGCCCCTGGACTCCATGTCTCCAAAAGGAACTTCAGATGTGTGAGAAAGTATCCAGAGTAGAAAAGGTGGCAGAGTGGCAGCAATGGGAAAGACAGGAAAATCAAGCCACACGTCCACCGTGGCCATCGCTGGGAAGGGGAGGTGGTTTGGTATGTGCTCTGTGATGCTGCAGCAGCTGGTAATGTCCTGCATGAACCACTAGATTGCTGGAAACAGTGTTTGGAAGTTGCAGAAACAGAAGAAGCACATGGGATGGCTGTTTTTAGGAATCTTTTTATTGGGGGACGTTTCCAAGCCTTATGATAGAAGAGCAGTGTGGCCCCTGCCTTCTTGTCTTGTCCAACTGCCTCGTCCTGTGCAGCAGATGCAATCAGTCACATCTGGCAGGAATAGCAATGTGAGTGCTCCCTTCATCAGTTTGAAGGGTGGACCCTGCTGAAAATAAGATGCATTTGGCTTGAAGAAATTGTAATAAAAGATCTCTATGAATGACTGAACAAGACTGCATTTCTCTTTCTTTCAGAATGTCAGCAACCAGTATCTGGGAGAAGTGTTCTTTGACACCGCATTGTTTGTGCACTGTGCTTTTCTTTTTGCTCTCACTTACCAAGGATTTTGCTCGGCATTCATGAGTGCTGTCTGGGTAGCATTTCCGTTGCTCACCAAGCTTTTCGTGTACAAGGACTTCAACAATCACGGTAGGGTAATTTGGGTTTTTGATAAAAATGGGAACTAGAGATTATTTATTTAACCAATTGGCTTCCCAAAATATTTAAATTTTCATGCCATGCAAATATTTATCTTATACTGTATGCCCCCATCCCATACTTATGTTTCTGAACACATGCTATTATATTACTTTAATTTTATTTGTATTTTATTCTCCCTGATGAAAATGTCTGATTGCACAAGATCACATCTGATTCATTTTCTGTCAGATGCCAAAGCAGATGAACACTGAAAATGAGCCCTGCATCTTATAGAATCTTATAGGTTTGTTTTCTTTCCATTCCCCAGGTGCCCAAGGAAGATTTATTGCTCTTTACCTTCTGGGGATGTTTATCCCGTATCTTTATGGACTGTATCTCATCTGGGCTGTATTTGAGATGTTTACTCCTATCCTTGGAAGAAGTGGCTCAGAAATACCCCCGGATGCTGTACTGGCCTCCATTTTGGCTGTCTGTGTGATGATTCTCTCCTCCTATTTTGTAAGGAAAAATGGGTTTTGTTTATTTTTATTTTTTATGTATGTGATAACTTTAGCTATACTGGATTCTGTGAGATTATGTTGCTTAATACTTTATTAAGAAAAAATTAAACAGAAGATATGATCAGTGTCTGTGGGTTCAGTATGCTAAGAAAATGTAGGACCTGGTGATGCACACTTTAATCTTAGCACTCAGGAGGTAGAAACAAGAGGATCTGTGAGTTCAGACGAGCCAGAGCTGCATGGTGAGGCCGTTTTATTGTTACAGTTGTAAGGTTTAAAATATATATGTTGCCTTCCTAGCTGTCCGGATCCCCTCTTTCACTTTCTCTTCCTTCCTCGCCCCCTGGAGACAGCTTCTCACTCTGGTGTGGAACTCTGTAGCCCAAGCTGGCCTTGACTTTGTGGTGTTTCTTCTGCTTCAGCCTCCCAAGTGCTGGGAGCCATCATATCTAGTTTCCAAATCCTCTTTTCAGGTAGCCCTCCATCCTCAAAGATATGAATGTGTGGAATATATACCAAGTATGGATTATGAGGTGTTCTGTTCCTGAACTTTTAGAATAGTCCCTATGAGCATGTTTTGAAGATGGTAGTTAAGAGACCAATGTTAATACACAGCAGTTTCAGTAATATTTGTGTGTGTGTGCCATTGAGGCATTTTTATTATCATTTTACTACATTGCTGTCAAGCCACACTTCATGAATTTTGCCTCTTGGAGTGATACCCAAACATGCTTTTGTCTGTCTGTCTCTGTGAGTATGTTGCCCAGGGACGGAGTCGTACCTTTGCTTGTCAGGGCTTCTTTTCTCATGGGGCTCTTTAAAGGAAAGAGAGATGGTGAATTAGTATGGACCAGAACCCTCAGGCAAAGTTCTTTTGGCATGATTCTGAAGCTGATGTTGAGCCTCTCCAGAGAAAGCAGCTCTTTGTTTTATGCTTTTTCAGTTCAAATTCCTAAGGAGTACTTAATGGTTACTTATAGGTATGCCTTGCGGTCCGAGGGTAGGGAACCAAGTGGAGACAGGGATTGGAGTTCTTACAGCTTTAGTTGTTCATGGACAGGATAGTGAGGTTTTTTCATACCACTGCAGTAAAGGTGGTTCCTGTGGAAATGGGATTCTGAAGACCCAGGGAGGTAAGGGGAATACCACAGTCATAGTCCACATCAGCCACAGGAATTTCTTCAGCTACCAGGAAAGCTCCGCATACATTAAAAAGTAATTCTTATGCACACCACTTGCTATTGGCTATATTTTACTAAAAGAAAACTGGCATCCCAACTGTCTGCCTTTAAGATACCAATTAAAGGCTGGGGCTGCAGCTCACTGATAGAGTGCCTGCCTACCTCACATACATGAGGCCCTAGGCTCAGTTCCCCAGTACTGAAATGACCCTTCTTCCCGACAAACAACAAAACCTACAAGGTAATGATTAACTCTTGCTGGCATTTACAGAGGTGGAGGACGGAATCCTAATGTTTGCTGTTTACTTCTTCTAGTTTTATTATTATCCCTTCCACCCTGTATTTGTTAAGTGTTCTTGCTTTTCTTACCACTGTGGCAAAATACCTGATAAAAATAACTTAAGAAGGGAAAAACTTATTTTGGCTCATGGTTCCTGCGGGTACTGTCCATCATAGTGGGAAAAGGCACAGTGGTGCTTCTGTGGTGGAAGCCTGTGGCATGGCAGGTCTAGGTGAGACTGTGACAAGAAGCTGGGGAAAACAGACCTGAGACCCACTCTGTCCACTTAGGCCTTGCCTCCTTAATTGCTACAGTTTCCCCACATAGCACCCACCAGCTAGGGACTAAGTGTTCAAACACATAAGCCTGAAGGAAACATTTCCTGTTCCAACCATACTAATAGATAGGTTTGCTGTTGTGCGGATTACAGGAGATAGAGACCTGGGCACAGAGAAACGTAACTGTAATCCCAGCACTTGGGAGGCTGAGGCAGGAAGATCGTGAGTTTGAAGCCAACCTCGACTACATATTGATACCCTGTCCTAAAAAACCAACAGTACAGCCGTAAAGGAGAGAGTAGAGTTCTGTCCCCTGTAAATGGGGGTCTGAGGTAGCTATGTTATGAGTCAGCTTTTCGCTGTACACATCCTGCCAGAGCAGAGCTTCGCAACCTTCCTAACGCCGTGACCCAGTTCCTCCGGTGAGACCCCAACCATAAGATGATTTTGTTCCTACTTCCTACCTGTAATTTTGCTACTGTTATGAATCATAATGCAAATACCTGTGTTTTCTGATTGGTCTAAGGTGACCCCTGTGAATGGGTTGTTTGACCCCCAGGTTGAGAATCACTCAGTTCTTTGGTGCCTACAAAGGTGATCCAGGTACAGGATATTTGAATTCTATTCCATGATCATGTACAAGGGAGAATAATGAACCTGTGAAACTGGAGATTAGGAAAGTCCCCAAAGCATGTCTAGCTTGAAAGCCAGAAGAATGAGATAAAAGTGTATTATCAGAAAGTATATCTTAGCCGGGCGGTGGTGGCACACGCCTTTAATCCCAGCACATGGGAGGCAGAGCCAGGCGGATCTCTGTGAGTTCGAGGCCAGCCTGGACTACCAAGTGAGTTCCAGGAAAAGGCGCAAAGTTACACAGAGAAACCCTGTCTCGAAAAACCAAAACCAAAACCAAAACCAAAACAAAAAAAGAAAGTATATCTTATTAGGAAAGTTTTTTGCAGAGAATGCCTCTTGGAATAGAAAAACCTTTACAACTGAGCATGTTGGCATGTACCTGCAATCTCAGCTTGGAAGGCAGAGGCAGAAAGACTGGTGTATACCTGTAAGCCTAACATTTTTGAGTCCTAGGCCAGGCTGGTCTACATAGGGAGTTATAGGTTAGATTAGGACAAGGCTATGCAGTAAGAACTTGTCTCAGAACAACCATTCTTCCCCTAAAACAAGACAATTTATTTCCTTTTCGTTACTGTGTGTAACGGTGCTGTTCTTCTTAGATGCTGTAAGTTATCCTTCACCCTGTTTATGTCATCGTGCTGAAGACAGTGGCTTCTTCCTGACTGAATGAGCACTGAACCATGTACTTTACTTCAGAGGTCTCTTAGCCATTGGGGCTTTATTCAGTATACGTTTTAGAAAACAGTTACATTCTGGTTAAGTGATAAGTTACCATATTTCCTAGAGTTGTTCTTTGTTGGGTGTCATGGTTCTGTCGATTGGCTGAGAGCTGAAAGAGCCTGACGATAGGTGTGGGGTCAGGACACTCATGAGAACAGCCCTGTCATAGGACTCACAGGCTACACCCGGGGCCTTTACATGTGCTTTTTTCCCCTTTTAATATGTGTGTATATACACGTGTGGGTGAATGGCATTCTGAGGGCACAAGATGACATCAGGTACCTTCCCCTGCCATGCCCTGCCTTACTCCCCTGCAAGAATAACTCTCACTGACCCAGAAACTTGCTTTTCAGGTAGGCGGGCCAACCTGTGAGCTCCTGTCTCCACCTCTCAGTGCTAGGGCCATGGATAGTCAGGCCTGGCTTTTTACAGGTGTGCAGGGGTTAAAATTCAAGTCCTCATGTGTGCACACTGAGTGCTCTAACCACTGAGCCATCTCCCCAGCTCCACTACTCAGTAATTTTGGTGTTTTGAGAAAAGGTCTCATGTGGCCCAGACTAGCCTTAAACTTTCTGAAGATGACCTTGAACTCCTGATCCTCCTGCCTCCACTTACTAAGTGCTCGGATTACACAACTGTGCTACCACGCTTAGCTTCTTCATTTGATTCTGTACTCATTTAAGAACTTAAATGTGGTAAAAGAATACAACTGTAAAGGTGCTTAACTGTGGACTCCAAGCACACTGTCTCTTTATGGCCACTCCTCCTCCTTCATTCTGCAAGTCCATTCATTTATAACCACCCAGAAGATGAGTCTCACAGTCTGGAGAGAGGACTTCAGCGGGAAATGGTAGGTAGGCTAAGGTCGGATTTTAGGACAGCTTTGGCAGTAGCTGGGCTTGAAGTGCCAGAACTGTAGCCCTGTAGCAAGCATTTTATATATGTCCACTTCTCTCCATTTCCCTTCCTGCATCCAACGTTAACTGAACAGCTTCTCTATGTCCAAATGTACCAGGCTTCCAGTGGAGGGGAAGCGTATTACTTGGTGGGATATTTGGAACATTATGGGCATTGTGACAGTGTGACAGAGGAGCAGATTAGGGTTACAGTTGTTTTGCTGTCTTGGGTGATCATTTCCTAATGTAATAAACGAGAGTAAGACCTCCCATCCAAGAATAGTTCTGTTGGCTGAAATTGCCCAGAAGAGGAGTTCCTCTCAATGGAGGTGTCTCTATGGGCAGGAAGCTGAAGAAACAACAAACAGTGGGGGCCGACAGCTGGCTTCGGTGTTTCTCAGACCCCAGGGACTGCAGATGCATTTGGTGTGCACTCTTCTTTCAATCTGCTGATTTGGCTACAATAAAAAAGCTAAATATTGTTTTTGGATGCCAACCTTGCAACTGATTCATGTTCACTGTCCCAAGTTCAGACTCACTGTTTAGTGTTCGCAGTGGTTAACTGAAAAGGACAGGACCGTTTCATAGTGTAGTTTTTCCTCCTCAAATTCAACTTTCAGAAGACCCATCTAAGAACTAGTTTATATGACTCCAACTCTTATTAGCATGTTACAAACACTAGAGTGGAATCTGAACTTTAATGAAACACATGCTTAGGCATAAAAACTCACCTTTGGCAGTTTGGCAGCCTTGATGGCGTGGTTGGGTTCAGTTCAGTGGTATCTGTGGTGCAGGGTTGGCCACTGCCGGCAGTGAGAAGGCAGGGGCGTGGTGCGAATGGGTTCTGGTCCTTTCTCCATTTGTTTCCGTTCTTCCTGTTGCTTTCAGGCCCACTGTCACCAAGTTCCATCCAGTTGAAGGCGTCTGTCCTTTTCTAGGCTCTGACTTAGGATGGAAATACCTGAGGAATTACTGCTCTGTTTACTGGGTGTCATAGCACACAGGCTCCTAGTGACAGTACCCACTAAGAAAGATCATTTAGAAGACCTCTCTACCAATGGTAGGAATTCCTAACTTTTCTGGTTTTGTGCTTGTGTTTAGATTAAATTCATCTACCTTGTGAAAAGCACCAAGAAAACCATGCTGACTCTGACACTGGTGTGTGCAGTCACGTTCCTCCTTGTCTGCAGTGGAACCTTTTTCCCATATAGCTCCAATCCTGCAAGTCCAAAGCCAAAGAGAGTGTTCCTTCAGGTAAGGGCAGTTCTTCACAAACAGTGAGATTCAGGAGATGAAATTTGCCCTGTCTGTTTTGAGATTCACTAGTGAACAGGAAAACTGACTTTTCTGCTGTTGACATAATTTAGTTGGTCTATATTTCTTTGTGTATAAAGCAACAAGGAATAATGACCATTGGTGGGCATTCTTATTAGCTAGATACACTTTCCATGATATGTGTGTGTATGTGTGTATAATATATGCATATATATCATGTGGAAATCATGAGCATTTAAAAATACCAATTGCATAAATATCTGTAGGCTGACTAAAAGGCTTACACTATTACTAGCAAAATAAAATAGAAATTAAAAATTGTTAGTAAAATTGAGCCATAGTAACATTCAAAGTAATATGTGATGAAATAACCTAAAAAGGGGTTACAAAAATGAAGTTTAGGACTTTAGATTTCAGGTCCTTTTCCAAAACCTCTTAGAAGTGGTACTATATAGCCAGAGCCTTGTCTCCGCTTTTGTTAAACAGAGGTTGTAGAGTGTGGTCACACAATGCCACCCGAGTCATCGTTTAGAACAGTACTTAAGAACTGAAAATTAAAAATACTGCAATTTGAGAGATTTTGAAAGGAAGCCAAATAGACCTTGGCTGTAGCCTTAAAGGACAGTGATCCGTTTTGTGTAATACCTTTAGCGAAGAAGTTTTTAAGATGATCTTCAGTGGCATGCCCATTGTTCTAACTATGGCAGTAGTATTTAGAAAAAGTTACATTTTTATTTTTGAAAGGACTGTGATTTGTTTTGGGTTCTTTTCCCTGTAAAGGGCAAAATAAGAGCTATGTAAGCCCTGCCAGCTGTGCACGTTCCTTTCCCTGACAGCCTGCTTGTATTCTGCCCAAAGCTGAAAGCCCTGAGTTCCAACACGCGCCTCTGTTTGCCCACCCTTGCCACGGGAGCCCTTTCTGAGCTGTTCCCTGACTTCGGGCTGTTGTTTTCTGCTGCTGCTGCTGAGTAGCTGTTTTAAATGCACTGTAAGCCTTTGGGGCACTCAGACTGACACGTGGTATGCTGCCATACCTGTCTTGTTCTGCATATGGATTAGCTTCCTGTAATGCACCAAGGAGGAAATGAATGTGAATATACACACATGCTTCCCATGTTTTAAATCTTTTTCTGAAAGGAATTCTAACTTACATTTGAATAGAATTTAATTTTTTGTCATTTGGTTTTTAAGGTACTTTACTTTTAATTATGTATATACATGTATCTATGTGGGTATGTGAATCTGAGTGCAGGTGTTCTATGAAGCCAGAGGCATCGATTCCCTGGAGCTGGAGTTACAGGTTGTTAGGAGCCACCTGATGTGGGTGCCGGGAATTGAACCAGGGTGCTCTGGAAGAGCAGTACATGCTCTAACCACTAAGCCATTTCACCAGCCCCTGTTTGTTTTTTGAGGCAGACTCTTGCAGTATTGCCTAGACTTCCTTCAATTCCTGGGCTCAAATGATCCTTCACTTCAGCCTTCTGAGTAATTGAGACTACAAGCACACAACACACACTGTTCCTGATCAAGTTTATATAAACATCCCCTTCCCCAAGACAGGGTTTCTCTGTGTAACAGCTTTGGCTGTCCTAGAACTCGCTCTGTAGACCAGGCTGGCCTTAAACTTACAGCAATTCACCTGCCTCTGCCTCGAGTGCTGGGATTAAAGGTGTATGCCACCAGTGCCCAGCTAAATTTTATATATAATTTAAATATACACTCAACTACATTTGTGATTTACATATCTGTCATCTGGTTTAAAAGAAAAAAAAGCACTAATAGTAACTTAGTAATAGAAGTTTCCTTTTTGTTTCCCCCCCTTTTTTTTTCCCGGAGCTGAGGACCGAACCCAGGGCCTTGCACTTGCTAGGCAAGCACTCTACCACTGAGCTAAATCCCCAACCCCTTGTTTCCCATTTCTAATCAATTGTGAACTGGGGTAGGAATGTGGGTGAAGTAGCTGAAACCGTTTCCTTACTTGTCTTGTTCTTTTTAGCACATGAGTAGAACTTTTCATAACTTGGAAGGAAATGTAGTAAAAAGAGACTCTGGAATATGGATCAATGGGTTTGATTACACTGGAATGTCTCACATAACACCTCACATTCCTGAGATCAACGATACAATCCGAGCTCACTGTGAGGAGAATGCCCCACTCTGTGGCTTCCCTTGGTATCTGCCAGTGCACTTTCTGATCAGGTTGGTCATTACTTTTTGTTTAAGTTGGGGGTCAGTTCCCAAATTCTGTCAGTGTATCAGGGTTCTTATTAATTGAAACTTATCAACTTAGTCAAGTATTGTTTGTAATGCTTTACAAAGAACAAAAAAAAATGCTTGTTTGTAATATAACTACAAACTTCTGATTTCTTTAGTCAGATAATGGACTCAGGAGAATGTTTTAAGAAGTCTCACTTCAAGAAACCTGAGTAGTAGTTAGAAAGGGTGACCCTCCTGAAATAATACAAACAACATTTACAGCTTCATCCCAGCTTGAGATGGTTTTAGAGTTGGCATCTCAGGATTACATCAAGGAAATAGGATGGGTAGTGGAAATGCCTGGGTAATTCCTGTTCTTATAAAAATGATACACTTTATGTATATGTATGTTTTTCCTGCATTTATGTACACAGTGTGTGTGCCTTGTGCCTTTGGAGGCCAGAAGAAAGCATTCACTCTCCGGTTCTGGAGTTACAGGTGGCTGTAAGCTGCCGTGTAGATGCTGGGAACTGAACCTGGGTCCTCTTCAAGAGTAGCCTGGGCTTTTAACTGTTTAGTCATCTCCCCAGCCCTTAACTTCTTTGATCTTAAAGTTAGAAAGGATTTTTTTTACACAGCCTGGGCATCAGAGGAGCTGGCATTATTTATCATATTCATTAGGTGGTTTTCATACCCCTTTGTATATTCTCAACTCTTCTTCTCTGAGTTATGTTTTACTATCAGTTAATAAGGCATCCTAAATGTCAACACTACCTTTCCAATAGGAAAAATTGGTATCTTCCGGCTCCAGAAATTTCTCCAAGAAATCCTGCTCATTTCAGACTTATATCCAAAGAGAAGACACCATGGGATTCTATAAAGTTGACCTTTGAAGCAACAGGTGAGAGTTTTCTTTTCACCTCACTTCCTAAGCTTTTTAGTAAGTTGCCATTTATGTCTTCCCATCCATCTGTCCATCCGTCCATCCATCCATCTATCCACCCACCCACCCACCCATTCACCCATCTTCTGAGACTCCCATTGTAGAGCTCAGGCTGGCCTCTGATTGATGATCTTTCTGCCTTAGCCTCTTGAGTGCTGGAACCATGTGCCATAATACCTTATAGTATTTCTAACAGTAACTGCAACTTCCTTCTTCAAGAAAATCTAATATATTTTTATTGCTTAGAACAGTTTTAGGATTACAAAAAATTTGCGTAGAAACTACACTTTAAAGCTTATCGATTTTATTCATTTTCCCCAAAAAACAGTTTTTGGATTAGTTGATACTCTCCTTTGAATTCTGCTCTAGACTACTTTGGTCCTACTTGTTTTTATTTAATTTACTCTTCTTTTTCTTGTCTAGTAAAGTGGAGGCTTAACTACCTCCTTTTGATTGTTATTCCTAATATAGACATTCAGTGCTATGAATTTCTTTTTGAATACTGCTCACGCTCTTGGTTAAGGTTCCTTAAAATTTTTATACCTGCAGCTTTTTACACCTGAGAAAATTTTATTTGGCTCTGGGGCTATAAAATAGGTATACAAATAAATCATTTACTGATAATAAATTAGAGAAATTTATTTTAAAAGTTCTTTGGTGTACATACAATTTTACCAACAAAAGCAAGTTTGCACAGTGCGGAGATGGTTGTCCTCGTTTATTTTCTACATGAAGAATTACAACTTGAATACTTGCTGTTTTCAGATTTAGAGCATCTCCTGTATTTCCAAAAGTTGATCAATATTTTTTTATAGTCATCAGAGTGCCACTCCAAATAAATAGGTAGTACAAATGGCAGAAGTACAGTTAGGGCCAATGTAGAAATTGTAAAATTTTGTCCTAATCAGAAGACAAAATTCATTTATGAAACTTGTCAGGAACTCAAACAGCAAGTCTAAAAATTAAAGTCTAACACATTCCAGTCCAAAGATAGTCAGATTTGATATTTATATGCTGATGAATGAAGGTAAAAATATTGTAAGTGTATGACTATATGACTGTTATGTTTCTGCAAGAGAAGACAATTTTGTACAGACAGTATAAACACTAATTCATAACCTAATGAATATCAAATCTAAGCAAATATGTTTCAGGCAGCATTTGGTACATCGCATACATAATACAAAGTATTCACGTTGTGTGTTCAGATCCAAGGCTGTGTTTAAGTCATGGACTACATTATAGGTGAAGGCTTTAGAAATACCTTGGATTCATTTGATGTTTCTCTTAATTACTTTTCTGTTGCTGTGCTAAGACACTGACCAAGACAACCTGTAAAATAAAAGCATTTAGTTTGGGGCTCACAGTTCCAGAGGGTCAGAGTCCATGACCATCATGATGTGGAACAAGGTGACAGGCATGGTGTTGGAGCAGTAGCTGGGAGCTTGTGTTTTGGTCTATGAGCATAAAGCTGGGAAGGCTAAGTAGGAATGGTGTGGGCTCTTGAGACCTCAGTGCCTGCCCCAGGCACACACCTCCTAGTCCTTGCCAAACAGTTCCACCAACTGGGGAGTAAGCATTCAACTTGATGCGCCTGTGGAGGCCATTCTCATGCAGACTGTCACAGTGTGTGTGTGTGTGTATGTGTGTGTGTGTGTGTGTGTGTGTGTGTGTGTGTGTGTGTACATACTTCAGAAACCTTTTACTGTTGCTAACTTTCCCTTGATTTTCCCCCCACCTCCCCGCATACACACATTTAGTTATACAACCTGCAAGCTATACAAACCATAGTTTATGAGGCTGGCTCTAGATTCTACAAATTTATGTTTTAGTGCTTACTTCAAAATACTAAAACAAAACCCTTTCTCTTGACACTTGTTCCTAGAACTTCACCCATGCAAGGCAAGTGTTCTACTACTGAACTACATCCCTGCCCTTGAGACTTCTGTATTGACCTATTTGTTATCAGAAGTGTGTTCTTTAGTTTCCAAATAATTCCAGATTCTTTTTCTGACATCAGTTTCTTCTTTAATCTCATTTTGAGTCAAGAAATCAGTTTCCATGATTTCTATTGTAAATACATTAAGGTGTGCTGTATGCTAAGGATTCAGTGGCTTGGGTAATGCTCCTTGTGTCTTGTATAATATTAGAGGGGCCAGCCTTAATACCATACATCCCAGGGGCTCAGGAGAGAAAGTACGAATGGCAAGGACTATTTTCAGGAAATAGAATCTCAGCACACAGAGCTCTTAGTCTAGTCATTTATTCTCCCAAATCTTCTTCTTCCCCCCCATGCCCTGGGAGTCGCGGTATATATACACTTACAAGCCGTAATCCCTTGGCAGTACAAAACCAGGCTTCCAGGGTCAAATGGAGGGGTGATAAGAATCACATAGAGCGACAATAACCGTTAATTATCATTTGCAACCCCAAAGGGAAATGAATTAACTAAAGGCTGAATTCAGGTAATATCTAAGAAGAGTGATCTTATGTGCTCAACTATAATCTTAAACATGATTGGTAGAAAATGTTAAGAATCTATAAGTTGCTAGGTCAATGCGAGAAAATAAAACTGCTTTCTTTTTTCCTGTGGCTCCTATCTGTCCAAGCTATCTGCCATTTATCTGCAGGGTGGGGCAAAGTGTGCTTGGTCGCTAGGCAACCTGTATACAGCTAGATGCCTCTGGTGATAGTTAAAGGGAGATCTGGAACTGGAGATAAGATTTGGGAAAGGAGAGGAAGTTAAGCTTAATTGGCACATCCGCCAGGCCTTCTCAAACAGGTAGTCTGGATGCCTAAATCTGTTCTTCGAGAGTACAGAGGTATCTCTAGTAAGGTACTTTCCTCTGTCTGGGGATGGACCTGGCCGGATGCTGCCAATGATGGTAATTACAGGGAGGCTTGAACTGGGGTTCTGGCTGAGCATAGCTGTCAGCGCAGGTTATCCACATTTCCCTTTAGTAGAGGGGAAATGGTGCCCCATAAATGATGGAAAAGCTACAACAGCACACAAGAAACTCACAGCAGGAAACAGCTGATAATCAAAAGCCAATATCACCACGGCTCCTTGAGCCTCAGCTTGATCTCTGGAAGGCCCTTGGCTTCTTCCAGGTATTAGCTTGTCATAACCGGCTGCGATCCTCCTTTGTGTATTTCTGCAGCATTTGTGAGCTGCTACTGTAGGATGGACATTCTGTCACTGTCACGTGGGCCCAGTTTCAGTTAGCTGTGAGGTTTTGTCTTATCCATACTCAGGCTATGCTGGTAGGTGAATATAGTTGAGTGTTGTTATGTCTTATAGACTACTTCTTGACCTTATATAATTGCCTTTTCACCAGTGAAAATTTTCATTGAGTCAACTGTAGCTCCCCAAAGCTTTCTGTTGATTACTGCTAATTTAAAATTGTATATTTTTATGCCTATATTTATTTTTGCACTATATGCATATTAGGTAAATACTCTATCACTAAGCTCTATCTCCAGCACCTTCCATTACTTTTAATCTATGTGTCTTCGTATTTAAGGAGGATTTCTTATAGACAGTACTTAGGTGGGTCTATTTTATTACCCAGTTTAAAGGGTTAATATTTTTGCCTTTGTTCTTTTTGTCTTCCACTCTTTTTATGCCTTAATGTAATTTTCACTGAGCCATTAACTACTCTTTAAAAAAACTTTTTTTTGTTGTTCTGGGCAGTGGTGGTGCATGCCTTTAATGCCAGCACCTGGGAAGCAAGCAGATCTCTGTGAATTTAAGGCCAGCCTGGTCTACATAACAAGTTCCAGGACAGCCAGAGAAACCCTGTTTTGACAAAAAACAAAACACACCCAACGTTTTGTATTTGCATATGTGTGTCTGTGTCAGTGTATGTCATATGTCTGCAGGTACTCAAAGAGGCCTGAAGGAGAGTGTCTGATCTCCAGGAACTGGAGTGAAGGCAATTGTAAACTGCTCAATGTGGATGCTGGAACTAACCTCTGGTTCTCAGAAAGGGCAGCAAGTGTTCTTAACTGCTTCGACATCTTTCTAGCCCTGCTGTAGTTTTATTTTTAGTAATTGCCCTTGAGTTTGAAATGTGTATCTGCAACTAATCCAGCTGCACTTTCAAACAACACTGTACTGCCTGGTGGGTATGCCTTTGATTTGCCTGAGGCAGGGTCTTGCTCTGTAGCTCAGTCTTGCCTCAGCTTATGAGTCTTCTGCCTCTGATTTACCAGTACTGAGGTTACAGGTGTGCCACCATACTTGGCCAACTAGTTTATAAAAAGTTTAGCCCTTTGTATAGTTAAATACAAAGGGCAATTAAAATCAGGCCGGGTGTGTTTATACACAATTCCAGTGGAGGCAAGCAGATTTCTGTGTGTTCAGGGCCAACATGGTCTATATATGGAACTCTAGGCTAGCCAGGTAACATAGTGAGCAGCAGATGCTCTTAATAGCCGAACATCTTTTCAGTCCAAAATTCAACTTATTTTAATGGTTGCTTCAGACTTGCAGTAAGTCTGTGTCCTCATTTCACCCCCTTAGGAGCACATGGAGTTGGCCTCAGAAGCAACAGGCAAGTCCTGTGACACTTCTGTGCTTCTTCCTTAAGATGATTACATCTTATTCTGCCTTGTATTTATTTACTTTTGGACAAGCTAGCTTCAAACTCATGGACTCCCTGCTCTCAGCCTCCTGAGGGATTACTGGAGTGTTGGTGGCTGTGACTTTTGTAGTTGGTTTTTTTTTTTTTTTTTCCTTTCTTTTTCCTGGAACTCACTCTGTAGACCAGTCTGGCCCCAAACTCAGAGATCCGCCTGCCTCTGCCTCTCAAGAGCCACCACTGCCTGACCTGGTTATGACTTTTAAGAAGCCTTACTGAAATTTTTGTGTTGTAGTTCACTGTCAGTCAGATACACATTGACCTGAAGACTTGACTTTTCCCTTTTCCACGTTGAGTCTTCTAGGATTTCCCTCATAGTGCTGCTGGCTGATGTACTACATTTGATTGTCACTTCCAACTTAAGAAAACTTAATGAAGTTCTGCTGCTTGCAGACTGACCCCAGACTTCTTGGCAGAGCATTTTGGGTCTTTAGTATAAAGCCTCATAGGCATCTCAAGCTATTCTTCAATAAACAAATCAGAATTATTTCCCCTTTTGATGAATTGTCCATTGTGGAAATGTGATGGTTAACTTTGTGTCCATCTGGCACGACTAACTAGTACCTTGATATTTCTGATAACATATAAATGGGGGGGTGGATTTGAGTCAGGTTGATCTGTTACCATAGTCCAAACACTGAGTGCCTTAAGGAACTTGCCACAGGCAGATTACCTTCCAACTCTTCCTGCAACCTCTTCTGGGGTGGGGGTGGGATTAGGTAAATTACATCAGCAGTTACTTTTCTCATTTAGAGGCTCTGCCTTTTCTGTTCTCTCATTACTTAACCTTGTTACTAGATACTGAACATCCAGGCTGGTACACCTCCTGCCCTGTGGAGAGTCTGCCTCAAGTCACAGCACAGATGAACCATGACAGTGTGGTTTCAGTGTTAACTGTACCGCTTGTCACTGCTGACTGATGGAAATGTTCCTCTTACAGGACCAAGCCATATGTCTTTCTATGTTCGAACCCACAAAGGATCAACGCTTTCTCAGTGGTCTCTTGGCAATGGCACTCCAGTCACAAGCAGAGGAGGGGACTACTTTGTCTTTTATTCCCATGGACTCCAGGCCTCTGCATGGCAGTTCTGGATAGAAGTACAGGTGGGAATTCCCCAGCCTCCCAGATAGTACTTAGTTCTTGGAAGCCAGAACACTGAACTCCAAGGTGACTAACTGATTTTCTCTGTCAGGTATCAGAAGAACAGCCAGAAGGAATGGTCACGGTGGCCATTGCTGCCCACTATCTATCAGGGGAAGACAAGAGATCTTCTCAGCTTGATGCTCTGAAGGAGAAGTTCCCGGACTGGACATTCCCCTCTGCGTGGGTTTGCACCTACAGTCTCTTTGTGTTTTAATAGTGCTTTGAGTACATGCCCCGTGGACATTCCATTGGGCAGTTTCTCTCCCATGTTATATGTTATATATCCCAAGTCAATGAATTTTAATGAGCGGATGTTCAAAGAACTTTTGATATAACACTCTTCAAGGCCAAGTACCATATGGGTTAAACTTTGGGGTAGTGGTACCTGGCCTTTTTGTCACTTGAAAATTCCAGTTTTCTGGCACTTAAGCACACGTGGATACTGCCATTCATACAGTCATTTATATGACTGTAAGGACTCAGCAACATACCACTTCATAGCTTTCCTTTGCGGATCAAGAAAGACGTACACTGTTAGACTACTGTTAATGAAATAGGTAAGTCCATGTGTTGTCAGTGGATGGTGGGTAAAATACCACTCGCTGGGATGGTGGCTCTCCTTGTCTATAACTGCAGTCACAGGAAAGTGACTGTCATGAAGAAGGAAGCCCCGAGAGCTACATTTCTTCAGGCAGCCATTAGGGTGTTTTTGTGTCTGTTCTGAGGCTTGAGCCCTGTGCCTGACTCCCAGTCCTGGAAGCCACTTCTGGACCACTTTCCTGAGGTAGCATTCATTGTCTGCTTTCCTCTCAAACATGTTCCTGTCATTTAGGAAGAGAACATTTTTCAGCTACATTTCCTCACAGTTCATGGGCTATTTTATTTGTGCAACATAAGACCTACACTTCTTCCCCAGAGCACTGGGTTGCTAGCATGGCTATTCTGTGGTGGAAGAGGAGGATGGTGGGATATGCTATAGAACATTTATTCCCTTTGTTTTATAGGCATCCTCTGTTATACAAGGTTAATCCTAAGAACATAATTTTATTGCTACATTGGGTTTTCTGTTTTCTAGCAAGTGAAGAAGTTCTTATAACTTGCTCTTAGTGAGACTGGCTATCCTGACACTGAGGTTGTAGCTTATATAAGAATGAGAAAACTATACCTTTATCTGTGTTCAGATCCTGCATAAAAGCAGCAGGAAGGTTTAGCGGTGCTTTTCACTTGGAAGACAAGGATGTGGCTTGTGAAGTATGTCAGCAGTGCCTCTTGTGGCTTCTCTAGGTTCCATCGGTGACAGGTGAAGAGTAAAATATGCTAGTTTCTTTTTTACATTAACAAATGTAAAAAGACAAAATTTGAGTTAGTCAACAAACATGACCCAAGATCTAGTTGAAAGAAAAGCCATAGTAAAGCAGAAACAAAACAAAATGTACTGTCAGGGAGGAACAGGAGGTTGTCTCTCAGAGTGGCCCTCAGCACCATCTGAATTTCAGCAAGAGCACAGTTAAGTGTGCACTGCAGGAGAGAACTTCCTTAAAATTGCTTGTGTGATATGTCAGTTTCTAATCATGTTCCTTGTATTGCCTGCTTAATCTCTAACTCCTTAAAACCTCTCTGTGCCCATGCAGACAGACACAGGGCTGCAGCTACAGCTGAATGGTAATGTGCTGACTGCCACATGTATTGACACTCTACAGTGGAGCCACTGTTTTTGCTGGGCTTAACAAAGATCCTATCTATCAGCGCTTCAAGTGGCTGGCTCCTGCCGTGTATGTATTATCTGTCAGGTAGTGCTTAAGATTTGCAGCCTGTAGAGAACCACAGCTGATGAAAATAAGTAATAGTACTAATAGCTCAATGAATTTCAAAATATGGGCTTATGTTCTGGTCTTGGTTTAATCTGAAATTGATTACTAGAAATTATAGGGGAGGGGAAGTAAAACATCATGCTGAAGAAGCATATAAAAAACAAGATGTTCTCTGATTTCTTTCCTTTTGGCAGGGTGCCATTGTCCTTTTTGGCATAATCATGGTTTTCTGCCTTTGGGTTATTTCTCTATGCAAACAGTTTTGATTTTCTTTAACATTATGAAACTTTGATATTATGCATCCAGTAACAAGATGCTCAGTTTCAGGGCATGCTTAGAGGCCAGAAATGGTCAAGTAATTACATACAGTATTCTTTCGGCTTTTAATAAGCACACTCTGTAGTTATCAGTAACCCTCTTTTAAAGATTATCTGATCACTTGAGTAATTCACTTCTAAAAAGATATTTTCAGGGTCTCAGTAATGCATCCCCCCCCCAATGAGTGTAAATATAGGCAGCACAATAGGAGGAATATAAAGAATTGTGATTTCACAGTTCTTAATATTTAAGAATGATTGTCCTACGTGTTTCCAGTTTAGCAGCTGTAATTCAATGTCTAAGATTCCCCCAAGGTTCTACCAAAAGGAGGTTGGACCACAACCAGCATATGTGACTCAGGAAGCTCCTAGAAAAATGTGTGTGGTCTGTTTCTTTTCTTCACTGCTTTGCTGACTTATTGAGGGTTAACTGTTGCCTTACGATGTTACTGAAATAAACTTTTTAACATACTGGTTGGAAAAAATGGATCTTTTACAACTGCTTTTATTCTATCTCCATATATTAAAGCTACTTTATGTTCCTAGTCTTTTTATATATATCAAAAAAAATCTACATGGTTAAGCATAACTGCTATTTTAACAAGTGGTGTAAGCAAAGAATTCAAGATGGGAATGCTCACTTCACATAGAGTCTTTTTACCTGGAATGAAATGATGCATCTGAATTTCAAAGAAATAAAAATAACCTGCTTAGAAAATGGTAAAATCCTGAGCATATTTAGGCTTAAATCCTCTCCACTGGGAGAGGAAATCACAAAAGGATTATTATTATTATTTTTTTAAACAGGGGGCTAGGGATAAGAGCAGGGAAAGAAGTTACCTTGCAGTCTGTGACTCACAGTAATTCTCAGCACCCAAGGAAAGGCTAGAATCAGGACAAAGACATTTCTCCACACTCTTAGTTTTCTAAGCGGATTCCTTCCCAGCAGTTCAATACAAGGTGAAACAACAATTTTTGTTCTTGTCCTTTTAGGGCCAATAAAGACACAATGCATGTATGTATGCCTCATTATGTTGAACTTTTTAAAACATACTTGACTGCAAAAATTATTGAGAATTTATTTAATCCAGTTATTCTGACCAAGTAGGACTAGTGAAATGCACCATACTAACAGAATAAATGATGCTCTGCTTTGCGCATCCCAGAAGAGGCTTTCCTCTAGCTGGTAAAAGTCATCAGTGAGATGATAAAAGACTGGAAGAAGACAAGATGTCCGTCATTGCTACTCCTTTTTGAACATCATTCTGGTTGTTCCAGCCAGGGCCATCTGGCAAGGAAAGACAAAACACTCAGATCCTAAATGCAGAGTCAAAATTATATCTGGTTGCAAATGACATGACTGTCTATATAAAAAAATCAAAAGATGAAATTAAGCATTCCATTTATAAGACTACCATGAAGCATGAAACAGAACAAAAAGCAAAACCTACAAGATACTGCTGAAAGAAATCAAAGGCCTGAATTGAAAGATATGTTCCTGAATTGGGAAGCATGAAACTAAAAAGGACCACATTCTTCAGATTTGTTTACACATTCCATACAATTCCTATGCAAGTCCCACTTTGGGTGTACGTACACTGAAAAGATGGTCCTAAATTCACATGGAACCGCAAGAGTCCTGGAATAGCCAAAATAGCCTTGAATGTATAAGTAAATGTAGTACTTGGACTTCCAAAGCCTCCTATAGAAAGCAAGAATCGTCCAGTGTGCTGCTGCCATAAACAGATCATTTTAACAGATGCCATTCGTTGTAATTGAGTCCAGAAAGAAGCTCACACATAGTCTGTTTTTGACAGTTCACAGGGGGGAAAGTCTTTTCCATATATTGTACTCAGACAACTGAGTATCCATATGCAAAAGATTAAAGTTAGAGTTTTTCATATATACAAAAATTATTTTAAAATTAACTCAAAGTGTTTGAGCTACAACTATAAAGCACAGATATAAATATTTATAACTTTGGGCTAAATTGTAGTTTCCCAGCTTTGAAACAAAAGCACAGCAACAAGGAAAGAATAAACTGTGGACTCCTATCAACAAGAAAAGCTGTTTCAAAAGACAGTATCAAGGAAGGTAAATCATAAAGAATGAGAAAATACTAATCATAAACTTGGGTAAGGCCAGGGAAATCATAAAGAATGAGAAAATACTAATCATAAACTTGGATAAGGCCTCGTATCCAAAAATATATAAAAACCACTGGTAAGCCAAAGATAAAAATGACTTTCAGTTTGGTTTCAAAGGTATCCAAGTAAGTGTCTACTAACCATATAAAAAGATACACATAAGCCATTTTCATGCAGCTCTTGAAAGACTTTGACTAAGATGATAAGTTTAGGTAGCAGAAGCTGGAGCCTTCATTCACAGCTAATGGGAACTTTAGTGTAGGCACCCTGGCATATAGAACTTGGCATTTGCCCAAGGACATAGTCACTCTATCATCCATCATACAGAGAACTGAAAACACATCCTGGTTCCCCAAATCCTCTTCCTTTTCTATGGAAATATGATCCAAGATTCTCAGTGGGTTCCTGAAGCCTTAGATACGTGATACTTTCTCCCTATATATACATCTATGATAAAAGTTTTGAGTTAGGTACAACAAGAAATAGGTATAACAGTGTGCTATAATAAAAGCTATTAAAAATTTAGAAATTGTTTATGTCTGTATTTTAGATTTAGTACTTTTTGGGCCTCTGTTGAAGACAAAACAGGGTAAGGGAGAACTGCTATGTGAATGTTTTAGTGTTACATTCTAAAATTGAAAACTCAAACTGTAACCTTTAAAATGGATAGTAAACATATCTACACGACAGCATTACTTAGCTTTAAAAAAAGTAAAGTAGATACTATACATAAAGAATTTTGAAAACATAATGCCAAGGTAATAAACACCCACGTACTAGATGTTTCTGTTTGGAAATGTCTGGAATAAGGAAATCCACAAAGCATATTTAAGGACTGTGCTAATCATTTTCAATTTACCTACCAGGGAAGACACCTAGTTTCCTGTATACTTCTGTTTGGTGATTACATGGTGTGCATAATTTTCTATCATTTCTTCACTGTATTTGAACTTGTACGCCTATGTTATGACTGGTTCAATATTCTGTCATCAGGCACTTAGATGTTCCTACTTTGTATCTACATATAAATATTTTAAATATATTTGTCTGAACTGTACTTCATTCAGAAGAATGTAAATGGTGGGACTGTAAAATGAAAATTATTTTTTGTGGCATTTTAATACATACCCTTATTTTTTTGTGCCGTTAGCCTGAGATAAGGAAACAAAAGTTCATGTCATAGTTTTATTACCTTACCAAGGGGTGAGGGGTACACAGTACAGAAGCAGCAGCAACTTTAATCACAAGCAAAGGTGGTTTTTAATCCCCAAGTGATTTGTTTTGGTATCAGCAAGATATTTAACCATATATATTAACTTTCAAATAGTTATGCCGAGTATTTAAGCTCATTAAATATATGGCTTACACAGTTGATATGTTTTGAACCAAACAATACAGCAAAACAAAATTTTTAAAAAAGTATCTAACCACCAAAGAATAGTTTTCTTAAGCTCACCAACTTTCTTGCCTTGGTGTTTCCTAGTTCTACTAGTTAGACACTGTACATTTCATCAAAGAGTCATTCCCAGCCCGAACCACAGAAGAAGCATTAATAACCCTGACCCAGCTGTTCAGATTGGAGGTGAGGAGAGATGATTGGGCACGGCAGCACACAATTCTAGAATCCCAGCAACTGAAGCAGTAACTGACAAGTTACAGATTGCTATGCAGCTTGGGCAAGGCTCTGCCTCAAAAAAAAAAAAAAAAGGGGGGGGGGGCAGGGATGTGACTTACTAGTGAAGGACTTGGTTAGGGGCCCTAGGCTCATCTTTAATGCTGCCCCACCACCACCAAAAAAAGTGAGATTAACTCAGCAGCAGCAGCCATTTAAGACATTTGAAATTTGCTGCTTATGATGGTAACTTGTTTTTATTAACTAAATAGTCACACTAGAAATTGACATAACACAAAAGAAATGCTGGCTCTTCTCCCTAATGGGATGAGACAGAAGAAACTTCAGCTTTGTTTTGTTTGCTTGCTGCACTACATGTACTTACACAGGAAACTTTATTCTGTATTTTAAAGTTCAGAACAAGGTGATGGTTTGAGACGACTTAAATAAAGTAGCACCAGAAGGACCAGGTAACAAGAGTCACATATTTTACCCACTCAGGAGTTTTATTATGTAAAATTATTGCACTTCTAATGTAGAAAGTAAATAACAGTAAATTACCAAATTCAATAATTTTAAATAGTTGGTGAAATTTGAAGTAATTTCAAAATAATTTTGAGCTTCCCTCTAAAGATTGTTGCCTAAGAAGACTAAATCTGTCTCTTTAAAAAGTAGAATAGAGGGCTGAGTTTTATTTCTAAGCTATATCTGCACTATAAGAGGCTGTTTTACATAGTGGTATGAATTTGGTCCACATCAAATACATTGTTATAAAAATAAACAAGATTTCATAAAAAATAACATTGCATTCCTTGTTCAAATTGCACAGTACAAATAAGCTATCTAAATTAATACTGCTATTATTTAGAATTACATATGGTGGGTATGTGTTTAGTCTGAAGCAACTGAATATGTAGTTCTGCTTTCATAATGTATGAAAACTAAAATTTAAGTCATGTCTAGAAATACATAAAATATTTTTAAACTTTACAATGAAGAATTTACAGACTAATTTTTAGTAGTTGATAATACAGGATCCCAGTCTATTTACATAAAAGCCCATTTTTATTCAATTTACAAAAGCAATAAATAAGAAACTACATTAATTTGCACAAAACCTCTTCCACTTCATGATCAGTGGGACTACTACTACTTTACAGCTGAGCCAATAAACCTGTCTCTATAAAGACCTCTCATTTTGGAAAGAAGAACAAGTCTTTATTCCAAGAGTGAGTATAGTCATGCAGAATCCAGCATAAAACCTTACAGATTATAATACATGCCTTAAAAATATGGACAGTGCCTTTGCATATATTTACATAAGAGTATTCACAAAAAGATACAGTTCTTTGATACAAAAATTTAGTGGTGTCAGCATAATTGACAAGAACCCCTCACCCTCTGTCCACACTGATCGAGGAGGAATTAAGCTTGCTCAAACAGGCACATTAACTCACAGGTACAGCTTCCATCGGTTCAGGACTGCTAGAGAACAGAGTACTAAATCCAAGAAGTCTTTGTCCATGAACCACACTGTGTGAGAGTAGCATCTATTCAGAGTACTGACTAGAGTCCAGCTGACTATACAAGGAAGCAAACAAGTAGCTCAGGTACCTGATGAGCTATAGCAAGCACCTTAGCATTTATTTAAAAGAAAGTTAAAAAACAACCCACCCCACAAAAACAAAACCAGCCTAGACATACACCGAACCAGAAAATATATAAG